TTTGAATGTGGGTATACTCTGTAGACCATGGCCAAACTTTTTACTGTGGAAATGGCTTTGAGTAATTTGGCTGTTAATCCTCAGGATTAATAGTAGAGATTCTGCCTCTGCGGCACCATCATGTTGTCAAGTCAGCTGGTTTTGGGGTATTGGGCAAAACATGTTATGAAAAGATGGTTTTATTTACTCTAATTTATTCCTAGATCATATTTGTCCACAAATGTCACAGGGAAGCCAGGGTCATTTTCTGTTATCACAATGTGTGTCAGAGTCCAATATTCTGTGACCAGGTTATTTTAGATATTCTGTGCGTGGAGGATGTAATGTGTAATATCAAATTTACTTATTTGAAGATAGTTGTTACACAGGATTTCTGCTTCAGCAGAGTGATACAAATTATACCAAAATCACAATACAAATGTAAGTTGCACTTAGCAAAATATAGCAATTACAATATACAGTTCAATCACAATACCAGTGTGATTCCTATTACCGGTCTCTGTAATATGCTCACTGTCACAATGCTGAGCATCCCCAGCTGGAAGGAATGTGTGGGTTGAATCCAGCTCAAGCCCGTTGCTGTCTTCGAAATTCCTCTGTTGACTGTGCAGTTTTTATGCTTTATGTTGGGCTGAGCCACGTATTCACTCCCTCATATGCTGATCTGACTGACTCTGGGGACATATTCACACTCTTTTAATGAACTGGGGAGAAACATTTACACCATCCATCAGTTGATCCACTGAACTGTTTATAGCTGTATATCTAAAACAAAAGTCCTTTTTGTGTTGAGTCAGTTTCTTTGCAACAGATGTGGTCAGTCCCACCCTGCATTATTCTCTGAGCTTCATGGGCACATCACCTTTGGTCCATTTGAGCCTTCTTCCATTGTAGGGGTTTATTGATCAGTCACAGTGTGTAGCACTTACACAAAGCAATGGTATGCTGTTTAGTTCAGTTGCAGGTATTTCTGTAGCTGGCTGTTAAGTGTACTACATTGCACTAGAGGATGTGTCTGGTGGGTTTTGCTGCAATTACTTGTTCTGGAAAGACTCTGATAGGTTTTATCCTAATTGTAGTTTAGAGATGCTGAATTTCAGACAATCATCATGAAAGATGTGGAGCTGCTCTGCAATAAGTGATGAATACCATATGTTGACTTGTTTACTGACATGTTTACTGTCTGGATATACTGATTCAGTTAAGATTTTGCCAGAAAGCTAGAAAGGAAGACAAATAATTGAAGAGTAGCTACCTGAGGATCATTTGGGGACACTGACAGACTGAGGAGTCTGTTTTTTATTTCTGCTGAACCTACTGGATTGTTTTAATAAGAATCGCAATTGTACTGGGATATCCCTTTTTAATGTTGTCCATACTCTAGGAAGAGATGTTAAGGTTGCTAAGAGGTGATAGAGGAGTTTAGAAAGCTGTTAAATAAGACCCATTCCCAGCTGTGTTTTCCAAGTTATTTGAAGACCCCAGTTCTGCTTAAGTCATTTTTTCAGAGTGCCAGAAGTTTTAAGCAGTATAAATATGTCTTGACTTCAAACAATCAAGAAGAAAAAGCCTTTTCTCATTTGATGCATTGTTCTAGGATAGAAAACACATAGGCTGTAAGATGATGGCTGCAGCATTGTGATCACAGGGAACAATCAGTTATGCCAACCACAGCCAAAAAGCTTGAGAGATGTTGTGATGCAAGCGTTGTGGTCCATGATCCACTCAAAAGGAGAGAGATCTTGTAACGTGCTTTCATTGGAAGAGGTTGATACCTGCAGATATCGAAGGGTGAACCCAAACAACCATAAAGAGCTAAGAAATGTTACAAGCAATTTTTGCACCTATTATTTTACAACTGTTAAAGCCACCATTTCTCCTTACAAAGCAAGTGAAATAATCCCTGTGTAGCCTAATCCAGTTGGCCCTCCTTTGTGGGGTAGGTTGGGCTAGGTGACCTCCAGAGCTCCCTTCTAACCTAAGTTATTCTCTGAATCAAGGATTCTGCGATAGACTTGGTGCATGAATCTTGCTGAGGTTTGGTATGAGTGGATATTTGTCTCAGAGGAAATATTGCTTAAAATAATGTGCTTTTCTGACTTGCTCACCCCCAGATCAGAAATGAAATTTGATTTAAATGTTGTTGTTTCCTATTTTTCCCCATGATTTCCCACCCTCCAAGGCAGTAGGTCACCTGAAGCAAGAGTGCTTTTCTTCTCCTTTACATCAGTAAAACTTACCTTTTAGTTTTTCCCCTCTAGCAAATATGTTTCTAGTCAGTGCTTTGTCCAGCAGTAAGCTTGCTGTTTTAAAAGAAATTTAAAAAATAACAAGAAAACACAAATGTAAAACAAAATGTACCGTACCAGAAGCACTGAGAGCTTATAAGTTATATGGTTGTTGATATCTCAAGATGACAATGATACGTCAATTTGAACAAACCCAGTATGAAAAAAAAAACCAACAAACTATAAAGATGAAAACAACTTAAGAACTTTTACCAAAGTATGACACTAGTGTGTTTAGATCTGTGAACATACATTTTCTGATTAGCCCTGATTCTTTTTCTGCAGATAGTAATTGGTGTATCAGTGTCATAAAGTAAAGTTCTCTTATCTTGCTAGTTTCCTCAGGTGTATTGTATTTTCAGGACAGCTTTGTCCAGCTGAACAGTGACTCTGGAATCATAAGGCTTTTCTTTGGGGATTCATGGCTAGCAGAGAAAGTTCATCACAAGATGTTTATCACAATCACCTATTCTTCCAGAAAGACTTCATGTCAAGGTTATTACTGCTTTTATAACCTTTTTGTTTATTTACTTTTTAAAAATCTGTGTGTAAAATACTGCTCTCCTGTCTTCCCCGCTGTTCCCGTCCTCCTGCTCCATTGGTTCACAATACTTCATTCGGTAGGAGGTTTCTCTATGACTACCATTATGAGTATAGAAAATTCCTTCTGAAAGGAGCCAAAAAAGTTCTGCAGTTTTGATCTTGTATGAGTTAAAAAATACTTTTAAAGGAGATTTAGTGTTGCAGGAACTGAGGATGAAGTCCATTAATGACAGGCCAGAATGCAGAGCTATGCTCAGTGATGGTTTTAATATCCTCTAGCTTCTGTATTTATTGTGTACCAGGTGACATTTAGCCAGGTTAAATTATATTCCTTCAGATCAATTCACTAAGTTTCTTTGGGTTATTACCCAGTCTGAAGTTGTATCAGATCCTTTCAGAAACAAGTACTTAGTTGTCAGCAGTTTTTGGACAGGTAAGACATACTGCAAATTCTACTTTTTCTCAGAATGCAGGAGAAGTTTTTAAGTTGTATATTCTAAGCTGCACTACTTTAGCTAAGACGAAAAACACACATGTGCCCTTCTTAACAAATTCCTCCTTCCAAACCTGTCCTTGGCTCCTTTTAATAAATTTCTTTCTGTCCTAATTTAAAAATTGAAGTAGACTTTAACAACCTGAATGAACCTCTATTGGTTCTGTTGTCCTTTTGTAACAAAAAAAAAAAATTATCTCTCTCCTAATACCAGCAGTGTTTAAAATGAGGAAAAAGTTAATTCCTGCAAGCTCCTATGCAATTAACT